TGTTGTTTTTGGTCTACTTTCTTTTTCTTTAAGTTATTAGAATAGGTTTTCTAAGTTAGTTTTTGCTTGCTGCTACATTTTTGTCTTGTCTGTTTTTAGAAAAAGGGATCAGCAGAAAAAAAAAAAATTTATTATTAATTTTAAAAACAATTTTTTATCTAATTTTTAATTATTTTATTTTATTTTTTTTTTATTATTTATATTATAATATACTGCACTTATATTACAAACTACTTATAAACTCTTTTTTATTTCTATTCTAACTTATTTACAATTTTAAACAACTTTTTATTATTAATATTACTTATAAGTTTAATATGAATCTATAACTATTACTTAACAAAATAATTTTTAGACTAATTTAAAAACTATTTTATTTTAGAAAACTTTTTATTTATATTTATAAATTTTAAAATTCAAACTTTAATTTTTTAAAACTGAATTAAATTTAATTTAAAAAATTTAGCTAATAAAATTAATTACTAATTAATTAATTTTAAAAAAAAGTTTTTTATACTAAACTTGATTTTTAATATTTAAAGATTTCTATTTTAGTTTAATTATTAATTTTATTACAATTAACAAACTAAAATTAAAAAACAATTTTAATCTATTAATTAAAACAATAACAATTAAAAATCTAAATTTATTATAAATTTTGTTTTATAAAAAAACTTATATATCACTAAAACAATTAAAATATTCTTTAAAATACTTTTTAGTATAATAGAAATTGACATACTAAATTTTTTTTTTGATGTTAAGATTACCTTTTTGGTCTTTTAACTTTTATTTAACAATGATAAATGTGTTTCAGTGAACCATTACAGAAAAAGTATACAATTGGCTACATATATAATTTTTTTATATTATTTATTTAAGAAATTCATTTAAAGGTTCCTCACTAATTGTTATATCTAACACCTCTGCTTGGGTATTCTACTTTAAACCTTCTGAATCTACAAATCTGTTAATTTTACTAGGTGATACTCAGATGTCCAGATTATCATCTCACATACTAAATTTATTTATATTCTCATTTATAAAATAAATTATAAAAAATTTTCTATTTCATATTATTTATTTTTATTATTTAATTAAAAAACAACTCTAAATTATTATAAATTTTATTAAACTTTATTTATTTTTATATAATAAATACCAAATCACTAATTACTAAAAATTTTTGTATCATTGAACTTTCAATATAAATTTAAATTACTCAAAATTTTACTTTTTATCTTTTGTTAAATATAAGGTGAGTATGGGTATTATGACGCATTACCAATTATGGCACAATTGCAATATCTCGCGAACTGTCGATCAGAATTGTACAATTTTGGTACTAATCGATTCGTCTCGGTGAGACGAATTGATTGGTATCAGAATTGTGAGATTCCAATCACCAGATCACGAGATATTGCCGCTAAAGTGATATTTATTATTCTTTCTATATATGTATTTACAAGGAAAATCATATACATTTATTAAAAAGTTTTTTTAATTAAAAATTTACTATGCAATAGATAGAGGGTGTTCTCCAAGCATTTAATCAATCAGTCAGAACAGGTCTAGAAACAAATTTTAATTAGCGAAAAGAAAAAAAGGTTAACAAAGCAAATGTGTTTAATTGCTGTATCAAAATTAAATTTAGTAAAAGATCATTTAACTGTATAGACGACCCAGGTATGTTACATTTCACTGAATACAGCTGTTATCATTATTCTTGGGACACCTTATTATAAATTAACCGAATGATTATTCTGCCGATTCAATAAATTATTGGTTTCAGCATGATCAATGAAGGTTAACAAAACAAGTGTGTTTAATCGTTGCGTCAGAATTAAGATTATTTAACTGTATAGACACCCGGGTATGTTACATTCCACCGATTACAGCTGTTATCATTATTCTTGGGATGCCTTATTATAAATTAACCGAATGATTATTCTGCCGATTCGATAAATTATTGGTTTTGGCATGATCAATGTAAATGTTTATTATTTACAAAGATAGCCTAAAGCTTGGTGTTAACCGATTTGTAAATTAAATTCACATGAAACTACAATGTACATACTTATCTTGCTTTAAAACAATAAATGTTACATTGATCAAATCGGTAGAATAAACATTCGGTTAATTCTTCACAAGGTGTTTCAGGAATAATAATAACATACCCGGGAGATATATTGCTCGGCGAGAGAGTATAGTAATGGGTGGAGTTTTTGTTAAATCTAAATTACTAATCAAAAACCTCTGGGTCTCTTACATTCCACCAAATTCTTGACCCCGGTTTAGACCCAGATATAATGGGGGTCTACGGTATTTATCATTTCAATTACAAATTGTTTGGTTAATTCATTATTCAAATTTTTCGGATGTAATCATTAAATAGTAAAATAAAGGCCATTAAGGTTTAAATTTGAGGGATATTTGCGCCATTTTTAGCGAACACAATCGATCTAATGTGTAACAAATAAGCCACATTTGTTCATACGTAAATAAGTAAATAAGTATTTAAGCTGCTTTAAACTGAAATTTTATCCATGGATTGCCTTTCACTATGAATTTATTAAATCAAAAATTTACAATAAAAAAAAAAAACATAAAATTGCACATTATGCCACTTAAAAAAGATAAAACTACCCGAAATAATGCTATTGAGAAAGCCCTTAAGGCTATAAAGAACTCCTCAAATAATCCTACAGCTCCAAGTGTAAGGAGTATCGCACAAGAATTTGATATTCCGGAATCAACCCTTAGACGTGTTATTCGAAACAATGGTCCTCTCAAACGTCCAGATCCTAATAAAGTTTTAACCGACCACGAAGAAGAGCAACTGGTTGGTTATTGCTTGAACATGCAGAGACTTGGTTTCGGATTGTCAAGGTCTGGTGTGAATCATTGTGTGATGGAAATTGTTGGTAGAGATGGACGCCCACATCCTTTTAACGAGAATGGACCAGGCCAAGCATGGTGGAAACGGTTTTTAAAAGATCACTCCGAACTTTCATTTCATGTCCTGCAGGCTCTAAATGAAGCATATGCCCAAAAAGCAAATCTTATTATAATCAATGACCATTTCAACAAACTTCAAAAAATTCTTACTGAATATTCGCTCACCCCTGATCGTATCTGGAATATGGACGAGACAGGTTCTATTTCCTTTTTTTTTCCTTTTTTATTTTTTATTTTTTTTTTTTTTTCCTTTTTTTTTTTTTTTTGAATTCGGGTCTTAAACCCGGGCGAGATTATATCTAATAATTATATATGAGATAGGTTTTATTATTGAGCCTAAACTTCAAAAAGTCATTGCAAAGAAAGGAGCATGTCAGGTTCATCATGTTTCGTATGGCAGCAATCATGAACACATCTCTGTATGCCCAACTATTTCAGATGCCGGAACGTATATACCTCCATTAATAATATATAAGGGAAAGTGGATAATCCCAGGCCTTTTAGACAGCGCTCCTGCTGGCACTGTTATGGGGTTTACCGATACGAGGTATATGCAGGAAAGCCTATTTAGAAAATACATAGAGCATTTTGTTAATTCTATTCCTCCTATTTGCCTTGTTTTACTAATCCTTGATGGACACAAGAGTCACGTCAATTATACTTGTATCAATTTCTGTTATGAAAATAACATACTTCTCTACAACCTTCCACCACATACTACCCACATCCTACAACCTGTGGAATTACCATTTGCTCAACTCAAAAAAATATATGACAGCGAATGTGACAAATTCTTTACTAATAGCGACAAGCTAGTAACAAAATACATATTCGCTAAACTCTTTGGACAGGCTTATATTAAAACATACACCCCAACCGCTATATGTAATGCTTTCAAGTCAACGGGAATATGGCCCTTCAATCCCGATGCCATTAGTCCTAGTTGTTTGGAGCCCTCAATGGCAACACATAGATTCGATCTACCAAGTCCTAAACAACCCACTCACCTGCTTGTTACACTAACTTCTTCTTCTTTACCTAGCTACGTTTCAAGTTACCTCGGCCCAACCTCTACAAATGAAGAATTATGGTCGGAGATAGATGCACTTAATAAAAGAGTTAAACATTTGGAAACAGAACTAGAGCTCTTTAAAAATCCTGGCATCAGTCCTTTGCGGCTGGTGCTTAAGTACCCTTTGCACCATCATTCGAAGCAGACGGCAGATCTGAAGACAGATGGAGAGCAGCCCAAAACTCAGCAACCCAAGAAAAAACGAAAGACTATGCCCTTCGCTCAGCTCCTTACTAATGAAGAGTCCTTACGTTCGTTAAGGGAAGCGGAGGAGGAGGCAGAAAGAGTGGCCAACGAAAAAAAAGAAAAAAAAGAGGCGGCCATCCAGAAACAAATAGTACGGGAGACAGAAAAGATGCAGAAGCAAGAAATGCGCAGGCAAAAAAAAAGAGGAAAAGGAACATTTGAAGATAGATCAACAGCGTATTAGAGAGGAAAAGCGGCTTGAAAAAAAAAAAGTAATTAAAAAAAGGATCTACCTAATTATCTATGTGCGCCATTTTTGATCGTTACCTTAAAGATTCCGATTTTCGAAAGAATTTTTTGTATCTTATAAAAAGTTTTTTTTTTCTAATAAAAAAAAAAATTTTTTTAAAAAAAACTTAAATTTCAAGTTAAAATATACCTACTTCAATATAATTTAATAAAAGTTTAAGGCAATTTGAAGAAGTTTTCTTATTGATATATTTAACTGCGCCATAATACCCATACTCACCTTAGTATTAGTTTGTATTGGTTGTTGTTGTTGTTTACTTGTTTGTTGCTGTGGTTGCTGTTGTTTATTAGAGTGAGGTGGGTTTTGATATAGTGGTTGTTGATGTTGTTGTTGTTGATATTGTTGGTTGTTATTGTTGTTAGTAGTATTATTGTCAAGGTCCATATCATTTGTAGTATTATTGTTGTTGTTAGGTGAGGTTGTAAAAGTAAGTTCAGATGCGAGTGGGTTGTAAGAGCTAATGGTTTGTTGAAGTTTTTAAATGAAAGTAGGAGAAGAGATTGACTGTTGAGCGAATTGTTGTATGTTAGTACAGGCTTTGTGGTAAGGTTTATCGTTATATAAAGTGGCATCAGTTGACAGGTAATGTTGGTTGTTCATTTCTTTACAGGCAATAGGTTGGTTACATTTAGCACAGAGGTGGTTATGTATGGTAGGTGAAGGTGATGCTGTAGGTGATGGCAGGACAAATTCAGTAGAATTTGTAATTGTGTTTGCTAAGGTTTTTTGATCTCTAAGTTTTTTAATGACATTTGTTGTTTCATGTTGTTTGTAGGTTTGGTTAATTGTTGAGATGAAGTGTATATGCTATTTGCCACAAAAGCATGTGACAACAGAGCTGGATTCGGGTGCTTTGAAGTAATGACTGCATTTGGTGCTTCCTTTAAGTTCAGTAATATTGCAGTTTTTAGGTTGTTTATTAGCAGGAATAGGACGAGATGAAGTTGGTGCATCCTCATGGATACCAATTCCGAAGCTCTTAGGGCACTTCTGGTAAAA